AACAGAACTACCTTGGCAACTTGGTTATAGCAATAATCACATGAATATGTTCTAGAAACAGTTATTAACTATACTTTTAGCCATGTATTCTTCCTGTCACATATTCAGAAAAATGTGCTTTTATATTAGTGTTTTGAGGTGAGTATACATTGAGAACTATTTTAGACGGGAGGGCAACTCAGAAAAATCCCATATTATTGATGTAAGAAAATCTTATGACTTCAATAATGAATGGTAGATACAAAATAAAGGATACTAGATTTTTGTTATGTCTGGATAGTGTTTTCACTCAGTTATTCTTACAACTTTCAGATACTGATTTTTATCTACTTCATTATTACAATTCTACTATCATTGCCAAGGGCTTAATTTGGAAGTAAATGAGCCTTATGCTTAAGTAATTTATTTTCATTAGTTTGCCAAAACGTGAGTCTCATGATGGTTTTAATACTCTAAGGCAGAATGTTTACATTTTTCTTTCATTGAATCTAAAATATTCCTTTGGTTTCATTTTTGTCCTAGAAAAATTTAAGGTGAGAAGACATTATTGAAGCTGACTTCATGAATGGCAGTTTTCCTGGAATAATAGAGAAAGGAACTGCTATACTTGATTATTGCTTAATTCTTATGCTATACTCTTAAAGACTTCCATAGAAGAAAATAATTCACTATGGGGCTTCTGTAAAGGTTGCTAATAATTAATACATCAGGGTCTTCTCATTACATTTGTCTTCATAGTTTAGATGGTATATGGAGAATTTTAAATTTTTTTCTTAAATTTCTCATTTTTTTAATTTAGCTATCCTATAATTGCCTATGTAGGACAGCTGCAGAAAATCCCCCTAAAATTTGTAATTAGAAATATATAATTTCTTGCTTTTAAAGTGATGATTAGAAGTGAGCCTTTTCCCAGTCCCCTTTTTTTACATTTTAAATGGACAAGTTTATTAGGAAAAGGAAAGGAGAGAAAACACTTGCATAGACACGAGGGGGCCGAGACTCCCTTTTCATTTAAAGAACATTAAAAGAAGATGACTAACATTTGATTTGGAAAAAAAAAAAAAAAAACTGATTTTCATAAAGCAGATTATATAATTTTAAAAATTAGTAATTGAATTAAAACAAAGTTACCCTTTCCATTCAATAATTGATGTGAAATGTATCTGATAATTTTTGTAGGGATATAATAATTTCTTATTCTACATTTGGAATGAAGTTGTACTGAGGAAAATGTTACTTTTGGAAAAAAAGGTCATTACTTTTTGTGTACTTTTCATGAGAAAAAAGATGGAAGCAGGCAGAAAATGTTGTAATACAAAGGTGACAAAGACAAATTTCTGTTTATGATGACAAGTTATTTTAAAATGGTCTTGAAATTGTGCAATACTGTTTAATTTATGAACCTTCATGGGGCATTGGGAATGAGAATTTATAACAGATTTCAAATGTGTGAGATAATGATAGGTAGAAACTGACTTTTGGTTTGAGGGTCAGAGTTATTTTAAGAATTATTTATGTGAATGCCTACAAATGTCAGGCTCTGTATTAACTTTTGGGGATTCATAGATGTGATAATTATTATATCCCCAGATCTATGAGAACTTTTGTCTAATACTGAAATTTTATGCAGTATTTTAATCCAATTTTCTTATGAGTTAAGGAATTTACTACCAAAGTTAAGATAAAAGGATCACAAAATAATTGTATGTAGATTGAGTAGGAAGATAAAAAAGCATTTTTTTGGTGTTGAGAGACAATAATCATAAAATGATAGCTTCAGTAAAATTAAATATAGACATATGCAGGAACTAATACATCAGATACTTATATACCCATAATCAGAATTTAGATTTGTTAACATTACTATACACTGTTTCAGAAAAATCTAACCCAGGATGTGTAAGTTTAGCATACCATATTGTCAAAACTTTTTGTTTTTTCCAACTAATTTTTAGGAGCTGTGAGTTAATGGAAACTATTCATAAATTTGAAGACATCTTTGTCTCTTCTTGGTTGGTTCACCTGCTGCCTTTTCCCTAGAGATTTTATCCTTTCATGTTTGATAGTTATTTCTAGACACCAGAAAACAAAGACTATACATATATTTGTATGCTTTTGTGAAAAATATGTGGTGTTTTTTCCTGAATAGCCATATGATTTTATAATATGCATAATTTGCAACAAATTTTTTCTCTAGTTATTTTACTATGTCATTTGCCATAATAGCAATATGGTCTTTAATGTTATATATGTATATATATATCTGCATATCTTATGTATCACATATCATTTATAAATATGGTTTATTCTCTTTAATTGCCTTTTAAATTCAACTCATATGGATATACTATTTATTTCCACATTGTTCTAGTGAAGTTTTTCGCTATTTTTGCTTTAACGACAAAGCTGCATTAAACTCCCTTGTATTTAGATTTAAGAAGTTAGATTCTTTTCACATTCATTTTCATTTTAGTTAAACATACAAAAAATTATTATTTGTCTTTTTGCTGAACTTCCTCTCTATATTTCAAATGTTTTCTTTCCTATTGTATTGGTTGTGTTTTATGAATTTTAATTACATTATTTTTTTCTGGGAATAAATCCTCTGCCTCCGGTATATTACAACACAATTTAAATATAATATTTCAACCCTAAATTCTATTTATTACAAAGATTTTAATTTTGTTGTAACTTGAACTTCAGGACACTTATTTATTACATTAAGAATTCAGTTTGTCCAAAACTGGGAAAAGCATTATATATGTTTCATTATGGTGTATTCATTTGGAATGAGGAAGATTTGAGAGAGAAAAATGTTTTGTGAAATGAAAACCAGAGTCCCCCACTATTTTTATTGTCAGTGCTGAGAAGCAGACTTGTATAGATATGTGATAATTCTTATACGTGGCTGCATTAAAGTCACCTTTGGAGATTTTAGACCAGGACACCAAAAGTTCACAGTTGATACCAACAGTACTTTAAGTTAGGTAGTATGATTCTTTTCCTCCAGAAGTGTTTTTCTAGTTAGAATACAGAAAACTGCAGGAGTACAACCTCTTGTTTCTCTTCTGACAGCCATGCATACAGTACCTGGTAGAAAAATACCTGTCTGACAGCCTGCCCCGTACAGCAATCTTAAAGATGTGTTGAATGAACTGATTATGTTTTTGTTATTTAATTGCAATTACTTTTAATGTTCCTACCAAAGGACATACTGAGATCATCGTTTAGTTTACCAGATATTTGAGTCTCGTCTTCTATGTGTGGAATTTCACTAATTGTAAATTTCAAGTCTATATTGGCAGTTCATTGGTGCTCTGATTCCTTAGCTCAGAAATACATGTGCTGAATCAACTGGGCACACCAACCTAAGATGAAAGAAATGCTGTGACTTACCTGCATCATCATTGGGCTCCTCACTGTAGCTCAATAAAAATTCATGAATAAAACCTTTCTGTACTTTTTTTTTTTTTTCATTGTATTTTAGAGACTCTCCACTCCAGAAACAGTGAATGAGATTAGAAGAGAGATTTGGTTTTATCAGAATCCTATCTTCATAGGTACTTATATTTTAAAAATATTCTAGAGACTGCATTAAAGAAATTGAAAGTTGTGATTTCAAATATAGGTTGATACTTGAAAAAGTGATACCCAATCAAAACTGTCCACTCTAAACATTTTAACATCACTTCTCTTTGACCTATTAGTTCAGTTTTCCTTTAATAGTATCTTTATTTAGCCCTTTCAGACATTGCCATTAAGTTAGAATGAGTGTATGAGAGCATTTTACTTTAGAACCTTAGTGTTTCTTGATCTTAGTAGTTATGTCAGTGGTTCAAATGGAAGCTGTATTTTGGAAAATATTTTTAAAAATGTAAAGTGTTGCATAAATCCATGCTAGTATTTAATACTTGCAGTTTTTTTTTATCTTACTTTCTCAGCATTTAGACTTCTTATATTTACCAGTGAAGTGTTTTCTTTACTTGCATTTTTATTATGTAGTTTATTGCCTTTAAATATTCCCCCACCCTACTACAAACTACAATAATTTTGATCCCACTTTCAATCTCTGTGTATTACTTTGATAACTTAGTAGAAAATAACTGCTAAATATGTTTTTATTAAAAATAAATGAATGAGGTATATATACAATGTCTGAATGTGGGCAATAGGAGTTCCTATTACCAGTGGCTCATCAAAGATGGGCTAGGATGTTGTACACTGCATCTTCAGGGCTTAGTTTGTTTGAGGTCACTAAATTCTTATTTGGATAAAAGAGTTTGCCAGGAAACTCATTAATATGGATGCTCTTTGGCCTTCATTCTTTCTCTTAAAGTAAGTAAGTCCATTATTAAAGTCATTTTACTTTTAAAAATTGCCATCAACATGAAAAATTTGGGATTCATGGGGAGTGTTACTAAATGTTTGATGTCACTGATGTCAGTGACCATATGGGTCAGCAGGTGAAGGCCAATTAATAAATTCTGCAAGGAAATTCAAGACAACGAAATGGAAAATGGCAGAGATATAGCTGAGTGCTATTCTTACTTTAGAGCTGAGCTGAATGCTGTCATATTCCTTATATTTAGCATACTTGGTCTTTATTTTCCCTTAGAATCAAAACTATAAAGTGAAAGACAACAGTTATTAAAAGCAGTGGTTAAGTACTTCTCATTCATGGTCTCATTTTGATCTGATACCAATTCTATTCAAGAATTTGTAGAAGTCAGGTAATTGCAGATTTGCTTGTTAATATTTCAGAGAAGAACCAAAGAAAAGATATTCATGGAAAGTTACATACAAAGTAGGACCTCACAGACTTTTTTATATTAAAATTCCCTTGAGCATACTTAGAAGATGACGATGAACTGTTTGAGACATAGTGCCATTTTTTTTTTAAACTGCCCATTTCAAAATGTTTCTTATCTAAATGTTAAGTGAAATGTTCCCATGCTATCATAATGATGATCTTAATTTTGTCCTCTCTCTTTCATTTTCAGAGGAAGAACTTTTCTCTTTTCCTCAGCATTAGTTTGTTAATTTTCTGGGGGACCTCCCTTTTGGGTGCTCGTTTATACTGGATGGGAAACAAACCACCAAGCTTTTCCAATTCTGACAACCCAGCTGCTGATTCGGACAGCCTCCTGGCACGCACGCTCACTTTCTTCTACTTGCCAACCAAGAACCTCTGGCTGTTGCTATGTCCGGATACCCTCAGTTTTGATTGGTCAATGGATGCAGTGCCTCTGCTCAAAACAATTTGTGATTGGAGAAACCTACATACTGTGGCCTTCTATATCGGACTTCTCCTCCTTGCCTACTACGGTTTGAAGAGCCCCAGTGTGCAAAGAGAATGCAATGGGAAATTTGTAACAAATGGCAAGCAGAATACAAATGGACATAGCTGCCATTCAGATGTGGAGTACCGGAACTCAGAAATTAAGCCCAATTTTGGTTCCAAAATAGAAAATGGAATTAAAAGTAATGTAGCACAGAGAACACAACTTCCTTCTACCGAGAACATTGTTGTTCTGTCTTTATCTTTGTTAATAATCCCCTTTGTTCCTGCCACGAACCTGTTTTTCTATGTCGGCTTTGTAATTGCAGAGCGAGTATTATATATTCCAAGTATGGGCTTCTGCCTCCTCATTACTGTGGGTGCCAGGGCCCTTTATGTCAAAGTCCAAAAGCGTTTTCTCAAGAGCTTGATTTTTTATGCTACAGCTACATTAATTGTTTTCTATGGAATCAAGACTGCAATAAGGAATGGAGACTGGCAGAATGAAGAAATGCTGTATAGGTCAGGGATCAAAGTAAACCCAGCTAAAGGTAATATTTTATGTTTTTGCCTGAACTGTTTACTCTTTGCTTTTTTATACTTTTGCTTCTTGCCTTAAAACATGATATTTAGGAAGAATATTTTTTGCAATATCCTTGTCTTTTTTTTCCAAAGCAACATAAGAGATTGGTTGTACAACCAATTTAGCGACATCCAGTACTCCATATTTGGAATAGAAATGTATTATGTTTGTGAATGCATTTGTCTATGGGAAATAGAATTCCTATTTTGGAAAAATATCAACTATCGTAAGAATGAAAAAAACTTGCTTTCATATTTTTAAATACTGATGGCAACATCTTTGTTATCTTCATATAGTAAGTCAGGTCACCCTGCTTAAGTATCTGTCAGCTCTTCTGTTTTTCAAGCGCTGCCTGAGAAAATACCAGGAAACTAACATTGACATCTTTCAAAGATTAGGAGGTAAGGCTACCTCTGAATCTTGAATTTGTGTCTCTAGGTGTCAGTGTGTACGCATGCAAGTGTGAGTCACCCTTAGCTTTGCAGAAACCAACTATTCTGAGTATTGCTGAATAGTTACCACCTTCTTAAGAGATCTTGAGTTATGTAGGGAAATAGGTTTTTCTCTATACAATAGGATCTATCATCCTTTTCATTATTGTTTTTGATTTAGAAAATTATTTTTGCAAATCTCAGAATATATAGCTAGAATAGAAAGTAGTCTCCTTTAAAGCGTGAATTAATTGGCAAAATCTGGTTTAGACAGTTCAATGGAGATGAGAGCCAGAGAGACCTGAATGAAAATAAGCATACATTTTTAGTGTGGAAATATATGATAGCAAATAGTGCCATATGTTCTTGCTATTCATAAGCCATATTTTAGTTATTTACATTTGAATTACAATTGCTTACCTAGTATTTGAACTGGATTTTTTTAACACAATTATGTATCCGGCTAAAAGTGTGAAACTATTCCAGTATGCAGTGGCCTACTGATATGTATCAAGAAATACATCTAAAAGTTCAAGACTCCCCAGAAGCCATCTGATATCCGTTTCTGATTGTCAATTAAGTTGAATTCAGTGAGCAATTACATGTTCCTTTAAGATAAGGAACTAATTGTTTGTACTTGAAATGTTTATAGATTGCAGGGATTTTAATGGGGAGTGAAAACATTAAAAGTGAGCTAGTACATAGTAAATGATTCCATAGTTCACAAGGAACTATCTTTACTATTTGGCATTTCTAGTAGTGAATGTTGCAGTTTATTGAATACTGAACCCAAATCTTGCTGTAAAAATTGTTGCAGCAGTTCTCACACATGCTTTAAAGTTAGTTTTTCTCCCTTGTAAATTTAAGTACATAAAGTAAGACTGTGTTGCCAGTTTATGTTCCTGCTGTTAAAAACATACTTGGTAAGGAATTCAAAGAAAAGAAAACCCGGGATTTTATTTATATCACAGAGTGGTTCAGTTATTGGTTAAGTTTCAGGTTAAGCAACTGTAACAAAGAGCCAAGATAACTTCAGCTTAAATAAGATAGGAGCTTTGTTCTTTCCTATAGCAAACTCAGTTTGTGCAGCCCATAGCAGATAAGATGGCGCCATGGGTTTTAAGGGTCCAGGTTCTTTCTCTTATGCCTGTTCATGTGATCCAGAAAAGCTCATTATCACATCAGCACTTCAGCTAACAGGAAGAAAGGGCAAGTGGTGGGTGTACCCATTTCTTTGAGAGCATATCACAGAAATTGCACATGCCATGTGTGCTCACACACTGATGGCCACACCTCGCTGTGAGGAAGGCTGGGAAATATTATCTTTAGTCTAACATTTTTCTAACATTATGCTAACATCTAAACTAAATACCCAGCCAAATTTCATAACTCTTCTAGAAGTGGAGGCCAGATGCTAGAGCATAAATAGCAGTCTCTGTCCCAGAGTAAGCAAAAACATATTGTTAACTCCTAGATATTTTCCAGCACTAGCTAACATTACTATAATTATGGGTAAGTTATTCTGGTGACAGGATTAAAATGTGTGATCCTTTTTTTCATTCATCCATTCAGTCAGTACAGCAATTATTAAATATATCCTGTTTTCCAATAAATTTCCTTGTGTCCTTCCTAATAAGTGCTGTAGTATTTAGGCACTTCATATATTATTAAATGAATACACAATTGACATTTAACACATCAAAAATTGAATTGAGCCCCTACCCCACCACCTATACCATGGCCAGCAGTTTTACTTGATGCCTTTTACCATCTCATTTGATGGCTACACCATTTTCCCCAACAGACATGGCCACACTATGATGTCATGCATATTGCCTCTATTTTTCACACCCTACATTAATTTCATCAGTAAATCCTCCTTGCTCTGTCTTCATAAGTATATCTAGAATTTGACTTCTGTTTACCACCTCTACTGCTATTACCATGACCCATGTCAACATCATGTCATTGGGTTATTGCTAAAGGCCTCTTACCTGATTTCCCTGATTCTGTTTTCTTGCCTGTTAGCATGTATGTGTTGTATTATGCTGTGGCTTAGTTACAGGGTACATTGCTGCAGGTGGAGGACCTTTGCTGTGTCTGCGGGTATGGTCACCATTTCCCCTGTCCCCCACTTCCATACTGCTGCCATGGAAGTGGCTCATGCCTTGGACTACAACTCCCAGCATGCCATGCCTGAACAGGGTGGGTGGGGCTATTGGGATGGAGGAAGGAGTGAGGCTGATATATTGGTGTGAGATGGAGAGGAACAAATAACTCCTTGGGAGACTGCTTCTCATTTTAGTTCCTGAAGGCTTTAGCCTTTTGGCAGGCAGGCTCTTTGGAGACAATGACAGCCACCATCTTTACCTCATGGTGGATTATCCACGCTGAATGGTACATCTTAAATTTTGGTCTCTACTTCTCTTCTAGCTTTTTGGGGCCTTTCCTGGCCTTTCTGACAATTTGTTCTTTGGATTTGTTCTCCTGGTGACTTTGTTGTTGGACTTTACCAGCCCAGCTGGGTATTTGCCTATGAATATCTGGGCATTTTGGAGTTTGATTTGAAGTCTATTATATGAAATTCATTGTTTCTCTCTCTCTCTCTCTCCCCCTCCTCTCTTCTCTCTCTCTTCTCTCTCTCTCTCTCTCTCTCTCTCTCTCTCTCTCTCTCTTCTTGCCAATTGAATATACTAGTATTCCATTACCCAGCTTTGACACATGCAGACAAGATGGAGACTTCAAATGGGCAACATCAGTTTTTCCCCTTAACACTTTGAGGTCCCTGGGTATCCCTTGGTTTGGCCCACTATCAGTTTTTGGTTCCCTGACCAGGAATGAGCCTCCAGGTAATAGGTTTATTGTTTGCTGTAGGAATCAGTGTCAAAGACCAAGTCTTTGTTCTTGTCCTTCCTGTTGTTGTAGGCTTCCCTAAAAACTCAGAATCTGTGTTTGTATTTCTTACCACTATAATCCTCTAAGAACTCCAGTGCCTTATTTTCTATTTATAATATGCTAATAATAATTCTAGCTACAGTTATTTCTGTAGCAATTATGAGACTGTCAGTAATCACCCTTAAGGCAAATTTTATTCTAATATGTTATGAGACTAGCAAAAAATTTAAAAAACCCTTTAAAGTCAGTCTTTCATAAGGTTATCTGAGTCACTTCATTGAATTAGGTTTTTTTCCCTCCTTTGAAAATCTTTGCATATTTTGGAGTACTTCACTTTACCCTGTGCTTTAATAAAATATGATTTTAAGCCTCATGGAACATTATACATTAAAGCTGCTGCCTTCAATAATGTGTCCCGTAGACAGCTGCCAGTCATTAACTGATTGGATGCAAATGATGATGGGTAAAGCTTGTCATAGTAACTGTGTCGCTAATTTATGGTTTAAATCTGGATAGTGGAGAAATGATAGCTGATTTGGACTATGTAAACCACAAGTCCTGTCTCATTATGTGGTTGATAATGTCAGGAAAATACTAGACATAGTTGATTACTGTAGTTTGCTGATTTGACAATGACCGCATTTTTATGCTTAGGAAAGAGGAAATTTTCTCTAATGACTGCTTTAATGAATAAGCCACATAATCTTTGAAAAGGTATTTTTCTTCATTAAAACATTTTATAAGCCATACTGATTTATTTATTTGGAAAAAAAGTTTCTTAATTTATTACAAAGGGGTTACTGTATGATCACGCCTCTTCTTGTCTCTGGCCTCACCTAAATCTCCACAGGTCTCGGGTTCTGACACCATTGATCTGCTGCTATGAATTTTAAGGCTTTATAAAATTTTGATTTTCTTCCTCTCATTTTCCATAGCTCTTTTGCAGTTTTGCCTCCTCCAAAGGTTCATTCATTCTTCAAGGTTTTGTCCAAAGCCCGCCTTTATTTTCCTTTCTGTGTAGGATATAGATCTCTGAATAGTATTTATCATGGAGGGCCATAAGTGGGTTTTGGAATTTCTGTTATTTTCCCAATGACCTCATATCTATGTGAACTTCTCCATGTAGGTGATTCCCCATTATCTCAAACTCATCACCTGTTTTCCAATTGCTTGCCAGCTTCCTAATTAAGGTGACAAGCACAGATTAAGAATTTTATAGATAAAAATTTTTATAGCTATGCATAAACCTAAAAACAAATGACAGCTTATGGGTAGTGTATCTGGTATACTGAGAGACATTCAATATTTTTAAAGTAATAGATTCAAAATCAAATGAATTCTTTAGAGCACTTTATTAACTCGAATAGCTTGCTTTAAAGAATATAGGACTGATTTTTAACTGTTTGAAAATAATTCATTAAAAGTAATTTTAAATAGGAACAATTAAGCAGGGTTAATGAAAGGAAAGTTTGTTAATGAGCTAAAGTTTACTTTTAATAGCTGTTGGTAATGTGAATCTGTATAGTGATAATAGACCACTTGTATACACAGTGATGCACATTCAACAGATTCCTGAATAGCATTTTTCATTCAAGTTCATTTCATTATAAAATAATAAGAAAAAGAAATTCCAACCAACACT